TGAATGCCATTTTGAAGGAAATTTCATAATTCGTAAAGCTAATTTATACATTTCCATTTGAAGATGACCAGTAAAAACATGCATTTGCGTGAGATTCCGAGACCTACTAATAAGTAATAAGAGAATTTGCAATTTTCCTAAAAACATTGCTAAACTAAATTTACTAAAGATAAATACTACATATGGATGCAATCTACACAGATTTTTCCACAGGATAACCAAGCCAAATCAATCTGAGATGTGCAGTCAGAAAACTGTTCCAGTAAGTCCTGTAATTTCTATTTTTTTCAAGGCAAAAGACAACTTTTGGTATTGCTCCACAAGAGAATTTTCATGCGTCCACCACTTTTCACACCTTTAGCACTTTACTCTGCTATAAGTTTTATATGTCGGCGTGATCACTCTTAATAGGCTTGGAGTTATACGATTGATGCAATTAACTGACCGGAAAGTGGCCAATTGTTTCTTCAGTCGCTTCAACTGGCCCTGGTTCATTCAAAGTTTGAAATTTTTCGCGGAAATGTAAATATTAATTAAAAGTACGTAATCGGTTAATCCAGGCCATTAATTATTCCGTTGAAAGTGTTGCAAATTTTAAACTATGATTACCGATTTTTATTTTCATTTTTTCTTGCCAAAGCATTGAAACTTCGTAATTTTTCGGAATTAGAGCTAGGCATCAATAGCTTTAGGTCACTCATAAGGGAGATGTGGAGTGAAAAATCCCGTGAGCGTCGGCCGTCCTTTGATTCCATTTACATACAAATGTTTGTATGCATGTATGCATTTGGGTATATAAGTATATATATTAGTGGGATTCATGAAACGTCGCATAGTTGTTGCAAATATTACATTTGTCGCAAAATTTGTCACCTTGCGACCCAGCTGATTACTTTTGTGTAGAAACTTTCTTCCGAAAAAATTACGACATTGCCATAGTATTTGAGCTGGCAATCATTGCAAAGTCAAAGTCTTCGCAACTTCTACTTCAAGAGAAAGTATATCAGTTAAGGCTGCTTCGAAATATAATTGTAAAAACTTCTCTTTTTTTCTAACGCGCGGCAGTTTTAAAGAATTTTGCATTTGCAATCCGGAGTCACGATAGGTCCTTCGCACAACTTTGTTCGCAACATTGTCATTTCGCCAAAATGCCACTTTGCGACGTTTTATGAATCGCAATATTAACCCTGTGGGGTAAATCTCTAGTTCTGGACTGGTGCGGTACATTTAGACCTAAATACTACTAATTCGCGATAAATCTCTTTTGCATGCAAACAACTGGCGAATTTAACAAGGCGATGTCATAGGAATTAGAAATTGTCCTCGCTGCATTACCTTTTCGATAGTTCAGAACCAGTCCTAAATTCGACATATGGGATCTAGTTTTCTTTACACCCCGTTTTCTATAGTTCCGAACCATTTATAAAATCGACTGAAGAACAAGTAATTTTTAGCAGAAAAAAAACCGACTTCAATTCCCATATAAAAAAAAAATATATATATATATATCTCATTACCCGCTGATCGGATCTTAACGAGATTAGTATGGGACCACCTCTGAGACACTACCTTTCCGATGCAAAAAGAATTATCGAAATCGGTTGACGTGGTCCAAAGTTATGCGGTAACATACATAAAAAAAAAAAAAAAAAAAGACTCCGACGAACTGATAACCTCCTCCTTTTTTGGAAGTCGGTTAAAAAGTAGCCTGATGTTTTCAAACAGAGTCTTTTTGGTTTTACTATGGTAGCGATTTTTAATTATTTACAAAGAAATGTATTTTCAATCTGAAATCAAATTTGTTTGAATGAATGTAAATCAAATTCGGCATTTGAAAACACCCTTACATACCTTTGGCTCCCTGCAGTAAAAATCGTCCCCAGTTGGCTGAAAATATTGGTTCCGCAGCTATGGTGGCATGCACCAGACTTTCACTAGTGCAAATACATAGACACCGTGTGATAGGTATCAATAAATAACTCGACTTTCGGCTAACGACTTTACATCATTATAATTATAATTGTAATTATACAAATTCGCAAGTGTATCGCGTCTAATAAAATAAATCAAAAAAAGAAAAAAAAAACGAATAAAAACATTCGGCCAGAAAAGTGAACACGTTATCACTGAGCTAATATTCGGTAGCGCGGGCGTTGGATTAACTGTGATTTGTAGGTACGTGTTGCCCATATATGATGCATGTTGCAGTATTTTGAAACCAGTTGAATGGTTGTGTATAATGTGGCAATTGCCACAGCCTAGGACATTACCATTGATTGAAAACCAGTTCGCTTCATTAAAAAGGGATTGAGAAGCAACTAAAGCATTGTTCACTTAAAATCGGTACGCGTTCCAGCAATTCCTGTACAGCAATTGTTTGAATGTATTAAAAATTTCCAATGCAGATCGTTAGACAATGGATCTACCATTATGATGTTGATATTTCATAGTACTGGCTTTTAATTTGACAGTTTTATTTACGTTGGAAGTGGCTAATCAAAAAATAACGTTGAACGAATTCGTTGAAAATCCGACACTCTCGAGATCAAAAATTAAATTAAAATTAAATATACCAAAAACTTCTAATTTTCCTCAAAAAATCAATGAATGGATTCCTTCTGCTTAAACTAACAGAGTAAGCTAATCATCAAAAAAAATCATTTCGCACCAGCTTAAGGATAAGCTTTACCTCAATTATAAAAAAAATCGGCTTATCAGATGAAGATCGCGCGAGAGAATTGGAAAACGATTATCCACAGTTCAGCGAATGGAAGCTATGGCAAGACTTAAACCTTATCGAGTTATAATATATATAATTCTGTTAGATTAAATTAATTTTATAACAAATACCTCACCCGTTTACTTTAGCCCAATGTTCACACCAAATGTGGTATTTTTTAGTAATGGCTAAAAAACATGTTTAAAGCTTGACTTCGGTCAACTCCCACGTTAAAAGTTTTAAGCTAAAAAGAAACAGGGTGATATCCTCTTAAAACTTAATTTGTATAAATTGACACAGTTGTCAAAGGGATATGAAATGACGAGAGCATCGAAACAGTCTCATTAAAACTCGATCAGACTCCACAATGGGTCATATGATCCCAGTAAATATGCTGGAAGGAGCACTTGCACAAAGTGTTAAGCCATTGTATCATTTACTTTAGACCTTCCGTAAAGTTCTGGTTGGTTTTAATGAAAATTAATTATTCACAGGTAACTTTAAATCGGTTTGAAGCCAAAGATATGAATAAAGTTCTGGAACTCATCAATTTACGAATATGTCCTATTTACGTCAAATCGAAAAATACACGGTATTTATTCAAAACAAAATTAGTAGAGATGCGCGAACTATGGAAAAAAATAAACTAAAGATAGTTTAGTGGAACAAGTTGACTACTCAAGTCTCTAGAACGGGTGTTCAGAAAAATTGTATCATTATCAAAGAAATTGTCTGTTATTTGTTTATCCAAGCAAAATATGAAACTTTCGCTAACATCTATCTATAGCGGAATTCTTCCCCTTATTTTAATATATTAAATATTATTTTCGGAAAAACTGTTAAAAAGATATAACCCATTTTATGCGTACCGATTTTGAGTGAACAATGCTTTAGTACGGGTGCACGGTGAACTAGTTTTATACTATTCTCGAACTAGACGACTTTACTGATGAGCTGTAGCTGAATTTACAGAGGGGCTTTCTGTTATTGGTTAGATTCCAGAAGGTTCCAAAATGTTAAAATGCTAACACATATTTTTGTTTTGTATTACCAAACTAAGAAAAAGCATCTGCGAAATGCAGACTGAAAGCGTATTTGAACGAAAAGGAAAAATCTATTTAAAGTAAACAAGCCCCCGCTGCATCCCTTTTCCCATAGTTCCGACCTAGTTCTAAATTCGCCAGATGAGATCTAGTTCGTCCTGCATCACTTTTTCTATAGTTTCGAATCATTTCTAAATTCGTCATTTTGGATATAGATTAATAAAAATAAAACTGCTTTTTAAAAGTTCCAAATTTCGCTGCTTTTGAACTGGTTGCGATCTAACTACTATCGGACTGGTTTCTTTTTGGCAATAAAGATCTAGTACGGAAGTATAAATTTGGTTCACCAGTTCGGGGTTTCCCTACAGGGAATGTACTGTTGTATATTTGCCTTTGTGGTATATTTTCTTTAAGTTACTCATATTAAAATCAAATTAGCGGTATTGCAAGAGAATCCTCATTGCATTTTGCTCTTATTGCGAATACTGCCTAGACATTTCACCGAATTCCACCTGATGCATACACAAATACACACACATTGATTTATTTTATACTATGGCAAGGGGCGCCAACAGCAACAGGCTTCGCGTGCCACATGCCAATTTGTTTTATCTTTAGACGCCGCGGAAAAACAAGTTATCCAATATGTAATTTATACTATGGCTTTCGCCCCAACTGTAACAAAAATAATAGGGGATTTTATTTAGCTTCGGCAAGAGTGTTGCCAGGTTTCTTTTTCACAAAACTTGCAAATTTCCAGAAAAATACTTTATTTTCGACCAAAAAACCAAGAAGCGAAGAGAGTTTTTAAAAATATGCTTCTTAATTTGATTAGGCATAAATGAGACAAACTATTCATTTAAAATATATACAGTAGGGTTTCGATAATCCGGACAATTAAAAACCGAGCAGTGTCCGTATTATCGAAATGTCTGGATTATCGAAGTCCTAAAAAAATATAAAAATTTTACATATACTCAACTGCTTAGTTCATTATTATTTTATTTTATGATTTCACATCAAGATTTATTACATACAAATGTAAAATAACACAAAACTTTAATTCATGAAAATAATATATATTAAGTTGTATGCTATTGTTGAAAAAAAAATCGTGATTTTGGTCTGACGAAGTTTGGTTTCATTGCGATTTGTATAAGCTATCTCTGTTAGGCCAATAAGTTTCAAAATATCTCCGGAGCTAAAATCCTGCTCTTCAGCATACTGTATGCAAGTGTTTAATGCGGCAATAGCATCTGAATGGGATATTTTTGGGATCCTTGATCTATATCTTCGTTATTTATCCATTCAGTAATTTCATTATTCTGATACACATCCGGACTTATTTCCACCATTACTTCACTTAAGTGATTAGAGCGTAATTGCGCAAGGCGCAAGTCGTCATCCGAATCCCATTCTTCGTGTTTCAAGATTCTATTGAAACACTTTTGAAGTACATTAGTGCCTACTGCGTTCCAAGCATTCGTCACCAAAAATGCAACGTCTTTTAAAGAAAACTTTTTAATAACATCCGTCAAATTATCGGTTAAATTTGATAACATAAATGATAAGAAACTTTTACGATAGTTCACTTTCAGAATTCGGATAGCATTTTGATCCATTGGTTGGACTAATGCTGTGCAATTGGGGGGTAAAAGCATTACGCATATATCTTCTTCGGAGCTAGCTAATGACAATGGATGACAGGTAGCATTATCCAACAATAAAAGTGCTTTTACTGGCAAATTTTTCTCTTTTAAATGTTTCCGCACTTGTACAACAAATGAATTCTTAAACCAGTTTCTAAAAATCGTCATCATCTCTGTCATCCATGCATTCTTGCTGTTAGCATACTCCATTGACAGCTTCACCTGTTTGAACTCCCTAGGATTTTTCGCTTTCCCGATCATTACCAATTTCAGCTTATGTTCTTCGGATGCATTGCAACAAACCAATAATGTGATCCGCTCCTTACCAATTTTACGCCCAGGTGCTGTTTTTTCGGTGCGCAGCGCAAGTGTTTTATCTGGTAACTTTTTACAGAATAGTGCAGTTTCATCTGCATTGTATATTTGTGAGTTTGTCAACCCCTTTTCACGAATTTTTGTCTGAGTTGTTCATTAAATGGCTGCACAGCCGTAGAGTCATTAGTTATTTTTTCACCAGAAATTTTTAGAAATTTAATTCCATATATTGATCGAAAGTTATTTATTATTGGTTTAAACCAGCCCTTGCTTGCGAAAAGTTCCACATTTGAACCATAAATTTCAGAACAGAAAACTTTTGCTTTCTCTCGAAGAATTACAGAGGATACAGGTACATTCAGCTGTCGTTCTTTTATAAACCAATTATATAGGCGTTCCTCCATCATCTGGTATTCCGCACATCTCATCGTTTTCCTTTGGCCAAGACCATTTTCACTTTTAGAAATGTACCTAAATGCATGATTGGCATTGGTCTTAGTTTCTCAATTTACAAAAGAAGACAAATCTTCTTACTAAATTTTATTTTCTTATCTTTCTATCTGTGATTCTTTTAATTTTATATCCGAAATTGTAGATTTACCTACATTATACTCCAGAGCCAGCTTTCTAACCGACTTTCCTTGCTTAAATTTTTTTAACACCTCTGATTTTTGGTCGATTGTTAAAAAGGTACGTTTTTTTGTAGCAATTGATGGCATCTTCACTAGGCACTGTCCTCAAGGACTAAACGACTGTAAATTAACTTCACACACGACCTTAAATTAGTCTAAAATAACAATTCCCGTTCTTAAGTAGGCTCTTGCCGCACGAGGTAAACAAATCAACGTCAAGACGATAACTGAGCTACGCAGAGACATAGCCGTTGCCATGGTCAGGCGGTGCGTGAATTCAATGCATACTTTGGAAATTTTAAAAAATAACGCCAATTCCCGTTGTGAGTAAGGAACTTCGAATGGATATCATTCCAGACACAAAAACAAAATAAAATATAAAGCGTCCGAATTATCGAGTACTAAGTATAGGCGTCATGTCCGGATTACAGAGTTCTCAATGGAGACCCCACGCATGTCGGGATTAGCGCGGTGTCCGGATTATCGAGTGTCCGGAATATCAAAACCCTACTGTACTATAAACCATTTAAATTATACTAAAGTAAACAAAAGTATACTTTATGAAATGGAAGATTTAATGGTGATCTCGTTTCTTCCAAAAAATGGTGCCCTTCCCCGGTGGAAAATGTGTTTGATGTTACACTCAACGGTGTAAATGCATGTTTTGGCCTTCCGATTTTTCTCCAGCTCACGCATTTCATAATATTGTCGAACACACAATTTTCTCACCCTTTGCCTTTAATTTTGAATCGAACACGAAAAGAGAAAGGGGCAATCACAGGGCAAAATGTTTTGATAGAAACGAAATCACCGTAAATAAGATTTTGTTTTAATGAAATTTAATCATTATTTTGAGTGAATTTCTTCGTTAATTTTTTGAGCTTTTGATTCGATACATATGTATGCTGAAGCATTTTTTAATGAAATCTTTACTTCTTAAAATATCAGAAAGTGCTGGAGTTTGTAGTTTATTCATTGTTTTATTCAAATCGATTTGAGAAAATATTCATTCCACATTTTCTTGGCGACTTGAAAGGACTGGAAACCATTTGCTTCAATTGAGGGAACGCCACCTCTTCAAACAACTGTAAGCTTGTCTAAAACACTGTAATTTAAAGTTAAAACTGTAAGTCTAACAACATTGTTCGGTAAAAATATAGACTATTTAGCTTATAGCCCGAACACGTATACTTAGGTAGATAATTATTTTGGCGGCGACAGAGCTACGCGACTGTGGTTGTGACTTGATTACATCTATGTATTTCTATTTATCCTGCAACAGATAAGGTTCATCCTCTTCTTTTATATCAAACTCATACAAATTCATGATGTCGCTGCCGCATTCAAAAAAATCATGTCGCCATCGACAAAGCGTTTTGATAATGAAGAAAACAAGTTCGAAGCTATAGCCCGTAGCTCGTCGTTTTCAATATGTTCAGCATTTAAGGGAGCCACCACATCAGCGGCCGCTGACACCTTTATGGTTCTCACGCAAACTGTTGATTAAAATGTTTTTCGCACGCTCGATTAGGAATTCAGAACAAAGAAAGAACCAAGCATGTATGTATGTATGTACATATGAAGGTATGCTGTTCCACATTTAGTTTTGAATGAAAAGTCGTCCAAGAAACACTCAAAGTAATTTATTTGTGTGGCCGGAATGGGAATGATTTCGATTTTAAACTGGCAGATAAAATTCGGCCCACATAAATTTCTAAGTATGAATGTACATATATAGAGATTAGGGATGTTTAGAATGTCACATTTTGCACGTTCGCGAATGCGAATGCGAATGCAAATGTGCGAATGCGAATACGAATGTTAGGAATAACATTAAAAAAGCTATAATCAACTTAGTCATCGTTTTTATTACTTAAAAATTTTTTAAATTACTAGAACATTGAACGAGTGCTTAACCTATAATAATAATAGATTGGCGCTAACACATATGTTAGCGTTTAGCCGAGCTTCTCCTCCAACTTGTGGCGTGCGCCTTGTTGTAGTCACACAAAGCGGAGGGACCTACAGGGACTCCGAACGGCGAGGCGTATTTTAATGAGAAGCTGTGTGTGAGAAGCTTAACCTATACAGTGTTTTAATATAGTAGTCAAAGTTGAAAAGGGGCATAAATATTATATTTCAAAAAAGTAATTTTACTGCCTTTTCTCCCATGAGGCGATTTCTTAGAGGCTCGTATATAAGGTCGGCTGCACTGAACAATTGCTCACTTGGAATGCTGGCGTGTGGAGCGCTCAAATATTTGCAGGCCAGATCGGTCAATTTGCCGTATTTTAGTTCAGTTTTCCACCAATCGAGAGGATTTTCACCGAGATGAGCTCGTTTTTCTTTAAGATAGGCCTTCAATTGAGCTTTAATTTCACATTTTTTAATGCTTCCACATTCTACATCCGAGCCTTCGCTTTCGCTGGAGGAATCTAAAATTATTTCTAGGTTGCTTATATGACTTTAAGGGCCAATTTCACAATGCGTAGTTAACTCGGAATCGGGAGTTAACTACAGATTTTTGTACTGAAAATCTCTAGTTAACTGTCGATTCGGAGTTAACTACGCACTGTGAAATTGGCCCTAAGCAGTACTTGTTGAATGCTCATCAATGTTGCTTGATATACTACTTAACCGTTTAGCGCCTGCAGCTAAAAGCCGGTTACTGTTTGCACCCTGGTTAGATAGACTTACCGCCCAATTCTGTGTTTTCTTGATAAATTATTTGTACGCAGAATTTAAATGATAGAAACAAATTTTTTAATACATATACAAAATTTATAATTTTCATATCAATTTTCCTTTGGAAAAGGCTTGTCAATAGTATTTTCAATCTTGATAATTTATCAAGAAAAGGGCATAACGAATGCGAAGGCAAATATTCGCAACATCCCTGGTATGGATATATAAAGTGCAGCTATATGTACTGCGATACATACAGTGGCGAAAATATATTTAGGGAAGATACTTTTTAGCATTCTTTGACTATTTCCCTTTCCAATATAATTATTTAATGTTTAAAAGGTGTTGAACTCCAAACGATGATAATTCGTCAACGCAGGATTTTCCGGCATAGAGAAGTGAGCAAAAGGAGTTGATCTAGCGGGGAACGAGGACAAGGAAAAGTGCCTCCTGGCTACAAATGTGTTTTGGAACACACGTTGCTGTTGGTCGTTGTATGTAACTATAATTTTGTGAAGAATTTTAGGTCTACTCATGTTTTCTCTACTAAAAAGATATCCAGTAACTTGCCAGTAAATTATTTTGCGAGAAACGCTCTTAATAAGTGAACGAAAATGCCAACCTTGCAAGAAGTTACTACTTTCATAAAATTATAGTTATGTTAATAGTTATTATTATTGTGGCGTAATAACGTTTATTTCAATAAGATTATTGAGCTTTAAAGAGATCTGGTGATCCGAAATAGTAGCTCTGACTTGTACCACTTGGACTTTGTTGCTTTTTCCATTTTTTTCCTAAATAAAAATCTTGGTATAGAGCTCAATAGCCTTGTTGATGTAATGAAATAGTTTTATACTGACAGTTTTAACTTAACTAAAATATTTTTTTGTTCTGTTTATGTAAGATGCATAAACAGCATGCAATCGGCTGTTTTCCTTACTAACAAATTGTTACAAAAAATTATCCAATAAAAATTTGCAACTTCCTCGAAAAATCCACTATCCCCCTATAAAAACCTTTGCTTAAGTTTTCAACTTGCACAGTGTAATAAATAAAAAAATAATAATAAAAAGCACACATCGAGCCCTAACCGCCAAAATAACGTAAGCGACATTTTTTTTCAAAATTTTCTTTTTGATGCAGAAATATTCCTAAAGCATCTAGGTGCATTTCTGCATCAAAAGAAAAGTTTTTAAAAAAATGTCGCTTACGATATTTTGGCGGTTAGGGCTCGATATGTATGCATGTGACAAATGTTTACTTATTAGTTATTTTTTAACTACTTTGCTTACTGATGAATTTCGTCAAATTTTTCTCAAAACAAAAAATCTAACCAAATTTGGTTTAGGCTTTTTAACAACCAAACAACAATAAAAAAAAAAATAAAATATTGCAAATTTTCTAGGATATTTAAGCACAAAATTTGGAGAGGACATTTTTCATATCTATTCGTTCATATGCACCAAAAAATTTATTCTGATAAATAATCATAAGTTTCAAGGTCCTTTAAAATAAAATCCTGACGCCAGAGATAAAGACTAGGTACGCAGTTTTACTATAATTTGCCCATAGTTTCGCGAATGTATTAATTTTTTGTGTGTAAAATTTACTGTCACACGGTGTTATTAT